TGGGAGTGACAGCCTGTAGGGGACGACAATCTTCGTAAGACCCCCGAATATCCGTCTTCCCCCTCTCTGTAACGGGAGATGCCAGGCATGGGGCGGTAATAAAAAGCTGGGGACTGAGCGGCAGTAAAAATAAAGTCCAGATGAGAAGCGGCTTTGAAGCCCCAGCGCTGGCGGGGGTGGGCAGGGAAGGGGCGGCTCCGAAGGGGCTGGGAGAGGAGCCTGGAGCACCCGGCAGGCTGACCGGGGCTTGGCGCTGCGCTGGCCGCCGGGTTCGGATGGCTGCAGACCTCGGCTTAGGGGCAAGCCGGGAAGGGGCGGGCAGCGGGCGGGGTGCTGGCGCTGGGGGAGTGCGCACGCCGGGTCACTGAGCCCCGCCAACGCGCCTAGCTCCTTGGCACCCGGCTGCGCTGTTTACAAGTTCAGATTTTTTTTTCTTTTTTCTTTTTTTTTTCCAGGGCAGAGCTGCTCAGATTTAAGGACTGGGAGAGTGGAAGAGGGAGGTAGCAGACCGGGCAGTGCCGTGGGGATGGTGGGATAGGAATCGAAGCCTGCTGTGTACAGGGTGAAGAAAGCATGGACCTAGCACCTTGCACTAAGTCTCTGTGAAGTCTTTACCTTGCCATGCCCAGCGTAGTGGGGAATTGTGGGCACATTGGCCTTTGAGGTAGAAATATCTTGGGGGCGGGGACGTTGGCCACAGGGGTCCTGGGTAGGGACCATATCCTCATTTAGACCCCTGGAGACCCTTTGGGCTTGGTAGCTCAACGTTTTTGCATTTCGATTTGTGCCAGCAAGTTTGGCCAGTAATGGGCGCACAGAACAGCGGGCTGGGCTCCGCCACACTCGGAGGGAGAGTGGTTTACAGGGGAGCTGGGTGCTGTCTTAGGGGCACTCGGATGGATGGAGTGTCCTGGTGTTGTGCTGACTGGTGTCAGCGGGAGAGAGCTGTAGCTTGTGAGCGTGTAGCCCGATGATGGATGTTGGGAGTCAGTGTGAGTGGGGCCTGATGCCTGTGAGGTCCTCCCCAGCCCAGGAGCCCACGGGAAGTCCGCCTGCTTTTGTGTCTGTGTGATGTTGGCCTACAAAAGTGTGTGTCTTCAAGGAGATGTGTGCAAGATTGTGAGTTGGGCAGCCCAAGCCCTGGGCCTCGCAGCTGGGAGCGTTTACAGCCGGTTATAAAGAGTTTGTTTGAAGCTCCGCTCAGCCTGGCCAGGAATTTCCTCAATTTCAGCAATTTGGGCTTTAAAAGGGGAAAACGCCAGAGCCCACCCCCACCCCCCCAGCGGGGGCCCTGCCTAGTGCAGGATCGGCCTCCCAGAGCAGGGGCTCAGCTTAGGGCTGAAGGGGGCATCGCCTTGTGTCCCAGAAGATCCTGTCAGCACTTCAGTGCCCTCCACCCACAGCGACCTCAGAGCCGTCGGATCGCACTTCAGGGTGCACGGGGCGGGGTCGTGCCAGGCGGGTGCCGAGAATGAGGGACGGTGCCGCTGAGATGGCAAAGGCTGCCCAAAGGCAGGCTCTCTGGGGCCTGCCGGCTTGTAATTGGCTGGTGCTGTCCCATGCCAGCCTGACCGCACCCAGGCCTTGCGCAAGAGAGGAAATGAGGAAACGGGGCAGCGCAGTTTGGGAGAGAGTGCCACCCCACGCACAGGCCTGTGGGCAAGGCGCACGCCCTGGGGACCCCAGGACGGCCTGAAAGTGAGGGCCTGAAAGGCATTCCAATCCTTCCCACGCCTCACAGCACCTAGCACTCAGGCAACCCCACCCCCAGTCTTGAATAAACTCGAGGCACCCTCCTGCCGCACTCCTTTCAGAGGGGAACCGACTCCAGCAGGATTCTTATGCTAATGAACCTGTGGGGGTGGGGGGTGGTCAGGGCTTCCCTCTTTGTGAGCTGCTCTGGAACCCGGGGGGGGGGGGGGCCCGCTCCCCTCACTGTCTTGGGTGGGCTGCCCAGGGTGGGAGGAAGGACACTGAGGGTCCTCAGGCTTTCTTCCAGTCACCTCCAAATGTGGGCAACAGGTCCTGTGGGCCGGACCATTGTCAAATGTCCTGAGCCTCCGATGATGGACCCCGCAGTCACACAGCCTGTGGTACTCAGTAGTCTCCTATAGAAAGTGTGGGCTCCCCGGCTTGGACAGGACCCCTTGGGAACCACAATCGCTGTTTCTGAGACAATGAAATCAGAAGACTGAAGACTGGCTCAGAAAGGGTCTGGGGTAGCTCCCATCCCCCCTCAGCTCTGTTTACCCAACGTCACCTGACTCTCTGCTACCCCCAAACTGCTCCTCCACCTAAGGATCTGAGCAAATACCTGTCTCCCTCAATCTTTCACCAGAGGCTACTCAGCTCTGCTCAGAGCTCAGAGCCTTGCCTGCCCTGTCCGAGCCGCTCAGCCAGCTGCTAATGCTCCCCTTGCTGACTTGGAGTGTTTTCAGGAGTGAATTAAATGAATGAAATCATTCAGCCAGGTGCTGGCTGTAGGTGGCCTGTAACTGCCCTGTTTGCCACCACATTGTGCCCTCCCCACCCCCATCGCTCCCAGCGACTGAGGGCGTGGAACCCCGGGTTATCCCAGTGACAGGAAGTGAGCCCTAACCTTTCCACTGAGGCCATTTGTAACTCCCCTGGAACTGGAGTTACAAATGGTTGTAAATCTCCATGTGGGAGCTGGGAATTGAACCCGGGTCCTCTAGGGGAGCAGCCAGTGCTCTTTTCCACCAAGCCATCTCTCCAAGCCCCTTATGACTGGGAAACAGAAGCGGAAGTTAACTTCTAGGTTGGTCTTGGTCTGGAGTTTGCAGAACTGAGCGGTGACATACAGGAGTTGGCCAGGTGGGGTGAGGTGGGGTGGCAGGGGCCTGAAATCTCGACCAGCTGCAATGGCAGTGGCCGGCTGGGCCCTCTCCTGAGTGCCTACTAAGGACATAGGCACATTGGTAACAACAGCTGTCAGCAGCAGGTCCGAAGAAAGGGGGTGCTCCTGCTGACCTTCTCTACTGCTTTTCCCCCAGCGGTGGAGACCCAGAGCACCAGCTCCGAGGAAATGGTGCCCAGCTCTCCCTCACCCCCGCCACCCCCTCGGGTCTATAAGCCATGCTTTGTTTGCAATGACAAGTCTTCCGGCTACCACTATGGGGTCAGCTCCTGTGAAGGCTGCAAGGTGTGTGCATGGTGGGAGGAGGGCTCGGGGCTCGGTCACTGGGGAGATGAGAGGGGAACACAGAGCTGGGAATGTAGCCTAGTCGGTAGAATGTTGCTTAGCACCCGTGAAGCCTTAGCGACCCTCTCATGTCGGCCGCCGGGTGCTGGTGGCAGGGCATGTCTGTGGTCTAGACACAGCAGCAGAGGCAGGCGGCTCTCTACAGAGCTAGTTCCTGGACGGCCAGGGCTACACAAAGAAACCCTGTCTCAAAAAACCAAAAATAGAGCCAGGCATGGTGGTGCACACGTCTTTAATCTCAGCGCCTGGGAGGCAGAGGCAGGAGGATCTCTGTGAATTAGAGGCCAGCCTGGGCTACAAAGTGAGTCCGGGACAGCCAGGGATACACGGAGAAACCCTGTCTTAAAAAACTAACTAACTAAAGAGCAAAGATAGCGATAGACAGACAGACAGACGGACAGACGGACAGACGGACAGATGGATAAAAAGCACTTTGAAGACGAGGGAGGCAGGTGCTATCCTCACACGAGTTTTGCCCGTGCCGCACAGGGACGGCTCGGGTGAGGTGCTGGGGATGTAGCTCAGCTGTGGGGTGCAGGAGCCCCGGGTTCTGTCTCTCTCTCCTTCACACTCGCACCCTAGACAGACAGACAGCAGGCCGGGTCAGGCCGGCCGCTGTGTTGTTTAGGAACGCTCCTGCCCCCCCCCCCCCCCAGGGCTTCTTCCGACGCAGCATCCAGAAGAACATGGTGTACACCTGTCACCGCGACAAGAGCTGCATCATCAACAAGGTGACCCGGAACCGCTGCCAGTACTGCCGGCTGCAGAAGTGCTTCCAAGTGGGCATGTCCAAGGAAGGTGGGTGCTCCCCTTCCCGCCCTGCAGGCCGCGCGGCCTCCACCAGCCTCCCCTCCCTGAAACCTGGCGCGGGACTCCCCTTCTGTTTGGTGGGCAGAGAGCTGGGCAGGTCTTTCACAGGACAGATCGTGAGATGGCCCCTCCTTTCTGCCCCCCCCCCACCATTGTGCTGCCAAGGCTATAAGTGGATATCCTGCCTGCATATCCTGCCCCCAGCTCCTGCAGGGCAACCGGAAGGGCAGGATGGAGCCGCATTGGCCTGGAGAGAGAGCGGGCTGTTGGCTCTGGGTGGGGCCCGGGCAAAGCAGCCTGGAAATAGGAACTTACGTAGCAGAGAGGGAAACTAAGGCACTAATTAGGGCTCCGGGGAATGAATCTATATTCTCAGTGAGAAGTGAACCCGTTAAGCTAGGCTGGGGGAGTGTCAGAGAGATGCTGAGCGTCTTGATCCTTCCCTTTGCCTCCAACCACAAGCTGTAAGGAATGACCGGAACAAGAAGAAGAAAGAGGTCAAGGAGGAGAGCTCACCTGACAGCTATGAGCTGAGTCCACAGTTGGAAGAGCTCATCACCAAGGTCAGCAAAGCCCACCAGGAGACGTTCCCCTCGCTCTGCCAGCTGGGCAAGTACACCACGGTGAGTAACGGGCAGTGCCTCGGGTCAGGCAGGGCCGGGGCCGGCTGCAGCGGGGTGTGCCCGTGGGGGGGTCCTTTACACTTCCGACCCCTTTCCTCCCCGCAGAACTCCAGTGCAGATCACCGGGTACAGCTGGACCTGGGGCTGTGGGACAAGTTCAGCGAGCTGGCCACCAAGTGCATCATCAAAATCGTGGAGTTCGCCAAGCGCTTGCCGGGTTTCACAGGACTCAGCATCGCCGACCAGATCACTCTGCTCAAGGCTGCCTGCCTGGACATCCTAGTGAGTGAGGCCTGGGGGTGGCGGGCCAAGCCTTTGCCTCCTGGTTGGCCTGGCCTGCCCTTTCCGTCGCAGAGCTACACCGCACCGCCTTACTCCTCGGTTTTACTTAGGAGGCCTTGCGCAGAGGCAGCGCTAACCACCGTCCTTACCCGTGCCCACGTGCAGATGCTGCGGATCTGTACGAGGTATACCCCGGAGCAGGACACCATGACGTTCTCGGACGGGCTGACTCTGAACCGCACCCAGATGCACAACGCCGGCTTCGGGCCCCTCACAGACCTCGTCTTCGCCTTTGCTGGGCAGCTGCTGCCCCTGGAGATGGATGACACGGAGACCGGGCTGCTCAGCGCCATCTGCCTCATCTGCGGAGGTGCGGGGGCGCCCTCTCCCGCCAGGCCCCAGCCGGTTGGGGGGGGGGGAGGCCTGGGGATCTCTTCCGGGGAACTGTTGCCGCCCACCCATCCTCCCGACTTCCCAGATGGTGGGTAGGCTCTCCGGCTAGCCGAGCTAAGGGAAGAGGAAGGAGGCAAGGGCAGGGCACGCGCAAGCCTGGCTGCGGCGCGGGGTCCCTGCTGAGGCCTTCCATCAGGGGGGCGCCCTGGGGGCCGCGTGCCAATAGCGAGGGGCCCTGAAGCCCCTGCCGCTGTGTCTGTGTAGACCGCATGGACCTGGAGGAGCCGGAGAAGGTGGACCGGCTGCAGGAGCCGCTGCTGGAGGCGCTGAGGCTGTACGCGCGGCGCCGGAGGCCCAGCCAGCCCTACATGTTCCCGCGGATGCTCATGAAGATCACCGACCTGCGCGGCATCAGCACGAAGGGTCAGTCCTGCGCGCGCACACGCGCCCTCCCGGCTCTCAGGCCCGGGCAGAGCGCGGCGGAGAACCCTGCCCTCCGTGGAGCCCCAGCCTGGTACACCCCACTGCGGAGACTTCGAGATTTGGGACAACAAAGTTTCTGTTTTGGTTTGGCTGCTGCTGTGTGTTGGTGCGTGCGTGCGCGTGTGTTTGTGTGTGTGTTGCTGAGGCTGGGGTTCAGGCCTCGTGCATACGAGGAAAGCGCTCTATGCCGAGTGATGTTTCGGCCCTCCTTGACTTTTTATGTCTTAGTTTTGTTTGGCAACTGGGTGGGGTAAGCCGATTCCTACTCGGAAGTGTAAGGACTGCGCGTTCCACACCGTGCGCTTAGAGATGGGCGGAGCCGCGCGTGCTGAGCTGTTCATGCGTGTGGTTTCGGCGGTAGGGAGACTGAGGCAGCAGGATTACTTCGGGTTCATGAATTCAAGGCTAGCCTGGACGTTTCCGTCGTCACAGTTCTTGTAGCGTCAGGAGTGTTTGATGAGCATCCCCTGTGGCAGAAGCCAACAAGCGCTGGCGGGTGGAGCCTGGCTGCCGTGGCGCGCAGTGGCCAGCAGCTGCATGCAGCGTGGTCTTCAGAGACCATTTTACAGCTCAGGCGGCGGCGCAGGCCTTTAACGTCAGCCCGAGAGGCGGGGGATCTCAGTGAGTTCCAGAACAGCCAAGGCTACAGAGAGAGAGAAGGAAGAAAAAGAAAACCCAACGTGTGTGTGCGCGCATATATATGTATATATATGTATATATGGCGTTTATTCATTTGTTTATGGGTGTTCTGGTCGGTGTATGGTGTAGAGGTCAAGGAATAACTACAAAATCAGTTCTAGCCCACACTGTAGGTCGTGGGCACCAAAGACTGGTTATCAAGCCTGGTGGCAATTGCCCACTGAGCTATCCTACTGGCCCTAAAAATTCTGTTTACTGTGTGAGCACGCCCACACGCGCACACTCATGCGCAGGTGACGTGTGCTCTAGCCTGTGTGTGGAGGTCAGGACACAGCTTTGGAGACTCGATTCTTTCCTTTCACCGTTCCGTGGGCTCATGGATCACATTCGGGTCGTGAGGCTCACACACCATCCACTGAGCTGGCTGCCGTCTCACAAGCTCACAGTGCAGTTGTGAAAAGATGCTGGGCACGGTGGCACACAGAGGCAGAGGCAGGAGGATCTCTGTGGGTTCGAGACCAGCCTGGTCTACAGAGTGAGCCATAGCCGGGCTACACAGAGACAGAGAAACCCTGTCTCAAAAACCAAAAAGAAAGAAAGAATGAAAAGTCACAATACAGGCTGGAGATAAGAGCACTGGCTTCTCTTCCAGAGGTCCCGAGTTCAATTCCCAGCGCCCATATGACAGCTCCCAACTGTCTATGGCTGTAGTCTCATGGGGCTCGGTACCCTCTTCTGTGTGCACACAGACACGCACACAAGACACCGCTACACACATGAATTTAAAAAGGGAAGACACCCTGAAAGTTGAGCATGGTGACACATGCTTGCAATCCTGGCACACAGGAGGCAGAGGCAGGAGATTGCTACAAGTTCAAGGCCAGCCAGAGCAATATAGCAAGACTCTGTCTGAAAAAAGAAAAGAAAGGGAAAAGAGCAGGAGCTGGGTGCTGTGGCCTGTACCCCTGATGCCAAGGATGGTTGCGGGCTTGCCTTGGCGCAGAGTTAGTTCCAAGGTAGCCTGGGCTCCTGCCTCTAAGGAACGGACCAAAGCAGAGAAGGCCTGAAAGGTTCAGCGGGCTAGTAAAGTTCTGGGCTGGTGGGGTCGTCTAGAACCTCGGGGGGAGGGGCACCCAGAAGTGGCTGTACGGGCGGGCGGGAAGGTCTCCTGGCTCAGGCCAGCCGGCCAGCCGGCTCTGGAAGGTCTGGCTGCGGTCTCTCCTGAGGTGCTTCTGCCCTTGCAATCCTCTTCGCTTCTCCCTGTAGGCGCAGAGAGGGCTATAACCCTGAAGATGGAGATCCCGGGCCCCATGCCCCCCCTGATCCGAGAGATGCTGGAGAACCCAGAAATGTTTGAGGACGACTCCTCGAAGCCCGGCCCCCAGCCCAAGGCTTCCAGTGAGGATGAAGCCCCAAGGAGCCAGGGCAAAGGGGGCGAAAGCCCCCCGCCTGACCAGGGCCCCTGACCTACCCCACCGTGGGGTTGGGCTCCAGGCAGCAGACTGACCATTTCCCAGCCATCCCTAGTGGCTGAGAGAGGACCTGCCCTGCCCGCTCCCCACCCTTCCGATGAGCTCGTGGTTTTGCCAAAGTTTGTAGGGGGGCCTGTGTTCAGCCCTGTCCTGTTCTAACAGCTCCCCCTACAGTCCGGGGACTGCCCCGCACCTGCCCGGAGAGCCTGGGAAGGCCCAAGCTTGGGTCCAGACTCAAATCTCAGCACTGCCTTTCAGACTGGGGCCACAGGCTCCCCAGGCAGGAGGACGCCCCGCCTTCCCACAGCCCCTTCCTCTGCCAGGTGCTTGGGCCTCCGGGAGCAAACAGGAACACTAGAGACCAAAAGGGGGCCGCCAGGGGGGCTGAGCCCGCCCTCGGCCCTGCCCTGGGTGCCTAACGCTGTGCGATGACCCTGCCACGCGCCCGCCCTCTGTGCGCATCCTCATTCTGCCCAGCGTGGGGCAGGCGGGGCCCTGCGTTTCTGGGGCGGGGCCTGGGGGTGAAGGGAGGGGCCTACCGAGAACCTCTGCTGAGGTGCCGCGCCCCAGGGCCTCCGTTTTACAGGCCGCCCCTTCGCCCCTCTCGTGCCTTGGCTTCTTGCCCCCATCTCAGCCGTTCAGGCAGGGACTTCCACACTACAGAGGGGCCAGGCGTCCCGTCCCTCTCTTAGTGCCTTCTCACCCTTGACCCCCCGAGCAGCTTGGCCCCGGGAGGGGAGATGCTGCTTAGCTGATCCCACCCCGACCCAGAGGAAGCCTCTATTTATTTATTAGCTTTTGTTTACAGCCTGGAGTGACCCCTTCCTCCAGGGGTCTTGGGAGGGGGGCCCAGGGCCTCTGTGACCCCTTCTTTCTTTCCCCAAACTCCCAGTTTGTATTTAGCTGCCAAATAAGATTCCTGCGGGCTCCCCCTTTTCTCTGGGGGGTCAGGGTGCTGTCCCGTCCCCTCTGTTTACATCACCCCTCCCACCCCGCTGTTTCGCATATTGCTGAGTTTTCTATTTTTGCAAAATAAAGTGATGGAAACTCAAATGGACCGTGGCTCCCTCGGCCAAGTCACACCAAGTCAGGGATGTGACCCGCTGACCTGGGCAAGGGGCTGGGTGGGCACATGGGGGTGGGGGCTTCGGGCTGCCTGGACTCTGAATGGCCTCCAGCCACCGTGAGCTCTCACTTCCGTCGGATCCTGTGGGTTCAGGTTGTGTCTGAGTGGGCAGTGCCCTGCTCTGGGCAGCAATCTCCTGAAACTTCATTTATTTTGCACACTTGTCCCCCGGCCTGGAAAAGAACCACAGCGCCCTTAAGCCCCACTGTTTTTAGGGGTTGTTTGTCTGACTGAGGCAGGGCCCCTCTGTATCTTAAGCTAAACTCACAGTCCTGCCCACTCAGCTGTGAGTGCTGGACCACAGGCCTGAGCCACCACTCTGAGCTCACTCCTCAGGGAGCCCTGCACCCTCTGAGCACACTCTGCGACCTATGTGCCTTCTCTTCACCCCGTCACCTCTGCTCCTGGTCTCCGCACCTTCTCTTCTTCCACTCCTTGGAAAGACCATTGCCCTCTGCCACTGCCCCTTGCCCTCTGAGACTGTCCTTCAGCCCCTGCTGTGCCCTGGGACAGGACTTTGCTTACCTTGCCCTTGGCTCTCTTCACCGTGACCTGGGCACATGGGAAGGAGGTGGGTATGGGACAGGGGAGGCAAGAAGAGGAGGGGGAAGAGCAGCAGAAGAAAGTGAAAGAATATTTAGAGGAAACCACAGGGCCAGGGGAAAAGAGGGCATTGTCATGGTAACCACTGGCTGAGGGGGAAGGGCAGCGGGTCTGGCTGTCCCTTAGCCTGGAGCCAGCTAGGCCCTGCCTGGAGAAGCCCCTCCAGCGTCTTCCAGGGTCCTAACTTTTAGGAGTATCTATCTATTTGTGACAGGAATACATTTGCTCTGTTTCTTTGAGTGTTCTCAGTGTTCAGCTGTGGTTCAGGGAAGGACGAATCAGATGAGGATGTGGATTTGGTCTCTTTGACTAATCACCTCCCAAAGCAACCAGTTCAGCCAGCTTATTTTGAAAAACATGAAAACAAAAGCTTATCTATCATTAAAAAGGGAGAGAGAGAGAGAGAGAAATCCTATTTGTGTCTACACAGCCCCTTCTGCCAGGCTTTATGCTGCCTCAGGCCCCAGCGGCGGTTCCTGCACCTGCCTTCCCAGACTCTACTGCTGTCCTGGCTCCTGGACTCCCAGTGGCACCTCTAAACCTCACCAACTTGCCAACTACCTAGAGCCTGCGCCTCTCAAAGCCTCTGCTCCTTACCCACTCAGACCCCTCATTCCTGCTGGCTAGAGTCCCTCCCTCGTCAGCGATGGAGACTGGACATGCCTCTTGACAGCCCTGCCAAGCCCCTAACCCTGAGCGGCCTTCTCACCCATCCCAGACAGTCACGTGCGCAACTGATAGCCACCGTCTCATCCTTGCCACAGTCTGAGTGCAGACGAAAGGGCAGCCATAGGACGACCTCAACCCTCCTAACACTGCGACTCCTTGGTACAGTTCCTCATGTTCTGGCGACCCCCAACCATAAAGTTATCTACCTCATAACTGTAATTTTGCTACTGTTATGAATCATAATGTACATAGCTGATATTTCCGATGGCCTTAGGCGATCCCCGTGAATCGTTTTGTTTTGTTCAACTTCTGTGGGGTCGTGACCCATGGGTTGAAAACCACTGGATTAAGGAATACAAGTGAGGAGTTTTACTATTTCCTGTTAAGGGAGAGAATGCCATGATATTAGCTCAGGCAGGTTGGCTCCAGAGTCCAAATAGTTTAGCTGCACGCTGTTAGGAGACGTTTGGGAAAAGACCTCAGATTCAATCCAGATTATAATTAGTTAAATGTATTGATACCGCTGGCAGTACAGTAATCTTTGAGCCAGTTTAGGTTCTGCAGCTCAAAGGGGAATAAGGGAAGGATTTTTAAAGGCAAACCCCACAAGACCTTGAGTAGCTGCACAAGCCAGCCAAGAGCTGCTTTGTTTGCTATACCAAGATTAGGTAGTCAAGGTGACCTCAGAGAGGTCCTTGAATGTCTGCAAAACAAACAAACAAACAAACAAACAAACACAATCACAGTCATATCATAACAAGCAGATGGTTTTGGCTGTATACTTCTGGGTTGGGGGAACCACAAAGTCAGGGTTATTGGGAACTTTCAGGGATTGGTGTCAAGAGACAAATGGCTGTTGGGTACCAAGATGGATACCTAGCATAAAATGTAGGGGTTTTGTTTTTGTTTTTTAAGTCATCACCACAACATGTGGTCCCTGGGTTTCCAAAGGAACAGAAATCTCAGTTCCCTCCTCTTCAGTACTGTCTTCCTGCCTGGCTCCCTCCTCTGTGAGGTAGTGGAGAGAGCATTGATTTTTGGAGGGCACCACCTGGTCCTTGTGACCCTTGACTGTAACTTGACAGCTTAGAGCGTGAGGGATGCTCAGAGAGGGGGTTCCTTGTCCTCGGTCCTCAAGTTACCGGCCCACTCCTGTCTGCTCCACCTTCTGCTAGCTCTGCAGCCCTCCCAGAGGCCCCCGCCAGGGCGTGTCACTTCCTCCTCTGCTGCCTCTTGGTGTGAACACAAAGGCTAGTGCTCCCGCTCCCACCGCTCCCACCGCTCCCACCGGAGGAAGGGCTGCTCCAAGCACCTGTGAGTATTGCCCGGGCACTGCCCACCGCCTCCTCCCTCACCAGGCCCACTCCCTCCCACCTCTCGGGAAGAAGGCTCTGGCCTGGACTCTCCAGTGCCCTGTGTGGTCTTAAGAAAGGCCCTGCACCTCTTTCTGCATTCCTGTGGGCCCCGTTATTCGTTCTCCACTATCCCCAGGGGAGCCGGAGGAAGGAAAGGAGGTAGTTCTGGTGGTACGGGTGGGTGCTTCCACGGACGGAACAAGGCTGACACCACCGTGGGCTTCTTCCAGCACCTCCTGTCTGTCCCTAGCTGCTTCCTGGCAGCCCAGGATTCTTCCCACTTGGCACCTTGGCCACACGCCCCTTCATAGCCTACTGAGGCTTGCGATAGCGATAAAGTTAGTACCGTCAAAGCATAGTCACAACCATAATCATTTTAATTATATCTTTATGGACCAGGGCTGTAGGCCACTGGCACAGCTTGAGTGAGGCCCTGGGTTTGATCCCCAGCACTTAAAAAAGCATTTTTACTTAGGTTTATAAGGAATCATAAAGGACAAAACTACCTCTGATCAAGAGTCATTATGGGGCATTGCAAATGAGAACTGAGCCCAGAATTAGAATAAGAATTATTTGGTCAAGGCTGAGCATGGTGTCGCACACCTTTAATTCCAGCACTCAGGAGGTAGAGGCAGGCGGATCTCTGAGTTTGAGGCCAGCCTGACATAAAAAAAGAAAAAAGAAAAAAAGAAAAGAAAGAAGAAAAAAGGTCAGCCGGGGAGCTTGAGCTTTGAGCTGCTTAAATCCACCTGTGCCCTGCATGTCCTTGACTTCAGTTTCTCTTTGCAAGGAGGAGGCTGAGATAGAAAATGCTTCCTGTCTCTCATTAGGACCAGAGAGAAGGAAGTAAAGCAGAGAACTGAGAAGTAGAAAAAACAGCCGCGTGAGATGTGTATGTGTGTGTGTTAGGAAGGGGAGAGACAGAAGCAGGTGGCAAGATGAATGGATTGCCAAAGACGACAGAGTGGAGAAGGGTAGGGCAGCCCATGCATGAGGCCCGTTAGGAGAGGTGAGTGAGCAGGGGCGAAGGTGGAGCCCGGTCCAGATGAGTCTAAACTCAGCCTATGCTCAGCCTCCCTGACCACAGCTCTCAGCACCCAGGGCCGCGGTTTCGGTGCGGCTAAGCTGGGGTCAGCCCCTCGCTGAGAGCAGCAGCTCTGTCAGGAACTACACCCATCTGAGGGCACATGGGTGGGGAGCAGGATGGGGTCCAACGGCTCGGCACCCCACCCTTCCCCACACTCCCCGCAGACGGCATCAGTACCTGAGTCTGGACCTGGCTGAGGGGTGTGGGTGTTCTGTGAGGCTTCACTCCTGGAACATGGCAATAGCGGCCTGCTGACGCTGCCTGCAGAGTTGCTGCACACGAGGGTCCTGAGCACGCACACTCCTGCATGCATGTGCTCTCCTCCATTGTCTGTGCTGTGGGCAGCGGGAACTCAAGTGTTAGACACCTCAGTGGTTAAGAGCGCTTGCTGCTCTCGCAGGGAACCCAGGTTTCACTCCCAGCACCCACATGTTGGTTGATTGCTCCAGTTCCAAGTGCAAAGATAGACACTTCAAAAAATATATATACACATCCAACAAAAATCTAAAGATAAAAAAGAAACTGTTGAGTGTGAACGTGGAGCTGAGGCTTGAAAGGAGAATTGTAACGTGCTGAGCAAGTGCCGGGCTACCGAGCCACCTTCATTAGACCCCAAGTAACCGAAGGTAGCCTGTCACGACAGGGCTGGCTCACGACTTCCCCTTTCCCGTACAAGGGAATTTATGTGAGAATTCTTTATTTTAAATTGAATTATAAATTTTGATTCAAGGCCAGCCTGGTCTACAGAGTGAGTCCAGGACAGCCAGGGCTACACAGAGAAACCCTATCTTAAAAAAACAGAAAACAAAACAGAACATCTGATTTTGGGGCCACAGAAGCAGTTCAGTGGTTGAGAGCATCGGCTGTTCTTCCAGGGGACCTGGGTTTGATTTTCCAGCACCCACACGGCAATTCACAGCCATCTGTAACTCCAGTCCCGGGGGCTCCGATGTTCTTTTCTAGCCTCTGAGGGCACCAGGAGCACAGGCTCTCCACAGGTATACATGCAGGTCTAACACCTGTGCGTGCAGAGCAAATGTGAAAAATCTGTTTCCATTTACCTCTGTCTGAGACAGAGGTCTTCATTGTTTTGTGTGTGGATTTCCTAAGTCATCCCAGCGCTATCTGCTGAAGGTCATTTTTCCTCTGTTGAATGGTTGGGCACCTTTTTTCAAAAAACAATTTGCCATGGATGGATGGGCTTCTTCCTTCTTTACTTGCTTCCTTGCTTTTTTCATTCTTCCTTTCTTCCTTCCTTCTTTCTTCCATCGTCCTCTTCTTTTTTTTTTTTTCTTTTTTTAAAGACAGGATCTCTCTATGTCGCCCCTACTGGCCTGGAACTCCTTACATAAGCCAGGCTGGCCTTGAGCTCACAGAGAACCTTCTGCCTCTGCCTCCTGAGTACGCCTGGCCCTGAAGCCTGAGTTCTAGTCCACTAATTCCTGCTCCTGCCTTTAAGTCGGTACCGCAGTGATTAATGTGGCTTCATGTATTCTTGATTAATGGAGTAAAGCTTTTTTTGATAAGAGCATTTTCTGAGACAGGGTCTCCTGTGGTTTAGGCTGGCCTCAGGTGCCTGTTCTCCTGCCTCTACCTCCCAGTGCTGAGATAACAGCATGAATTGCCACATTTATTTTTGAATCACAGTAATAGATCACCTGTTCAGTTTTTACTTATTTTAAAAAAAGTCTTTTTTTGAGACAGAGTGAGTTTTTCTGTGTAGCCCTGGCTGTCCTGGAACTCACTTTGTAGACCAGGCTGGCCTCAAAATCAGAAATCCACCTGCCTCTGCCTCCTAAGCACCGTGATCAAAGGCGTGTGCCGCCATGCTGGGTTGCTCAATGTTTAAAATTAACTGATAATCAGTTTTTGCAGTGTAGTCTAGGACCTATGCATAGCCACGCTTTCTTCCACGCCACAGAAAGTGTGGCCACTCACGGCTGCAGCCCTCACACTTGAGAGGGTAAAGAGAATTGCCATGGGTTCAAGCCCCACCTGGGCTACAGGGAGGATCAGGCCAGCTGGGTCCCTGTCTACAAAACTCCAAAGCCAAAGCAACAGCAGCACAGTTCTGCAGAGCCAGCTTAGTGGGTGAGGATGCCCCCAGCTGAGCCCAGTCCCTGTCCCACAGCTGTCCTCTGACCCCACACACCACCGTGACAGGGGCACGCTCCCACCGCCAGTTAAACAGATGAGCATAAAACACAAAGCTAAACTAGACCGTCAGGCTGGAGAGGCGCGAGCTTGCTCCTGCAGGGGACCCGGGTTCAGTTCCTGGTACCTACAAGCTGGCTCACCTCAGTGCTGCCGCACTCCCCAGCCGTCATGGGCGCTTTATGCATTTGGTGTACATACATGCAGGCAGGCAAAACACCCACTCGTGTAAAATCAAATAAGATACATTTATTTTAAAAAACTAGGGCTGGAGAAACAGCTCAGTGGTTAAAGGCACAACTCACAGGCACCTATACCTTCAGTTCCAGGGGATCCGACGCTCTCTTCTGCCCTCCAAGGTCAGCAGGGACACACGGGGTGCACAGACATAACAATAAAATAAAATGCAGATCCAGCATCAACAAGAATTTCTTTTTACGAGGTGTCCTTCCTCCGCCTGCCGTGTTCACGGTGGCAGCGGCGATCCCCGAGCACACACTCCTGTGCGGGCCCCCTCCTCCCTTCCTCTCTTCCGGCCTTCACTTCTTTAGACTTCAAGGCTGTCGGGCATTTGCTCAGCTCCTTCGCTTTACAAAGGTGGAGGCTGAGGCTCCGGAGCCAGGCAGGTGTCTGGTGGGTGGGACCTGGCGCTTCCCGTTGGTACCACCTTCACTGCAGCTCGGAATGTTGGTGAAGAGATCCGAGAATGGTCCTTTCTACTCCAGACTGTCCCGTCCTCTTTTCTTCCTTCCTTTTCCTTTGTTTTTGAGAGAGGTCTTTCTAGGCGGCCCTGCCTTGCCTGGAACTCACTGTGAAGACCCGGTTGTCCTCAAACTCACAGAGATCCACGTGCCTCTGCCTCTCACATGTGCAACTATGCCCAGATTAAAAAACAAAACAAAACAGTGTATATATATTTAATGTATATGTGTGTGCCTGTGTGTGGGTGTGTGCACACAGGTGCAGGTGCCCATGGAGATGGAGTTACAGGCAGTTGTGATCGGCCTGGAGTAGGGTGGGAATAGAACTCGGGTCCTGCAGAAAAAGTGTGCCTTTGTGCTTTTTTTTTTAAGATCTTATTTCTTTTTATTTTTTGGCTACGGGTGGTTTTACTGTATGTCTGTCTGTGCACCACATGTGTGTCTGGTGCCCTTGGAGGCCGAGCGTGTGGGGTCTTCTGGAACGGGAGTTACCGAAAGCTGTGAGCTGGCATGCCACGTGCTGGAATGGAACCCAGGATGGAGGCCATCCCTGGATGAGCAGCCAGTGCTGAGCCATCTCCCCTTGTGAGCCCACTTGTGCTCTTAGCCACTCGCAGGCCCTCCTCAGGCTGCACTGCCTGCCCGGGTACCTGAGGTCTGCACGGAGGCAGACAGGTCTCTGGGCCCCGCCCCTGCTCCGTTTCCCACCACTTTGAAAAGGCTGCTGAACGCAGAGGGGATGCAGAGCTCTGAGGACAGGGATGGCGTTGGGGTAAAGCTCACCGGGGCCACCACAGGCTAAGCTGAGAGGACCAGTGCCGGGCCCTCCCTGAGGACCCAGGTGTGCCTTTGTGTCCTATTATAGGCCATGGTGGACATGTCAGCCCTTCTCATTCTTCTGCTGGTTCTGGGCGGAGGTGAGAGCCAGCTGGATCTCAGGATCACACCCTCGGGCGAGGCCGCGGAACGGGGGGACCCTGACCTCTCCATGCAGGGGTCCTGCCAGCCAGCGTCTTCCTGCCAGAAGTGCATCCTGGCACATCCCAGCTGTGCGTGGTGCAAGCAACTGGTAAGTGGCTCTGTGGGCCTGGAGCCCTGCGGCCCTGGAGCCGTGCATGGAGTGTGCACAGCCTGGACATGCATGCGGGTCAGGTGGGCGCGTTTGTGGTTTTTCTGGGTATATTCTTCAGTCTCATGGGTGGCTGAGCTGTTCTTTGTGGAAGCCTGAAAGAGGGAGAGGTGGCAGAGGAGCTTCAGAGACACAGTCTCTCACAGAAGGATGGAGAGTTAGACCTGTGGGCCTTGCTAAGAGGCATTGCACGCTCACAGGCAGCCGTAGTTACAGCTTCGTAAAGGGCCCAAGAAACTAGTGAAAGCGAAGCTGGAAGGCTGTGAGAGGCAGAGGTCCTAGGCCCTGGCTAGAGAGATGAGGCTCTGGGGACATCCGGTCTGTCTACCTCTTCCATTCTCTAGACCAGGGGCTGGCACCCGTGCCCACTGAGAAGCCACCTAACCATTTCCTTCCCCTGTGGTTTCCCAGTCAGTGCATGGTACCAGACATGGTGAGCGTGTGAGTTGCGTGTGTGCACGCTGTGTGTGTGTGTGTGTGTTTCTGTCCCTATCCTCCTCCTTCCCAGGAACTGGTGTGACTGGCCCCTTCCTATTTTGATGTGACCGCGCAGGGGAAGCTGGGCTTTCGGGGCCTTTTGGCGATCTCCACAGGAAGTCTGAGGCTCTGAGGAGAGGGGGTGGTGGGCGGGCTAGCGGGGGACAGAGCGGCGGGGTCTGCGGGGCCCTGTCCGGCTGAGGGGACTGGGGTGCCAACGCGCGTCCTCCCGGGGTGCAGAACTTCACGGCCTCGGGGGAGGCGGAGGCCAGGCGCTGCGCGCGGCGGGAGGAGCTGCTGGCCCGCGGGTGCCCGGCGCACGAGCTGGAGGAGCCGCGCGGCCGCCAGGAGGCGCTGCAGGACCGGCCGCTGAGCCACGGAGCGCGCGGCCAGGGCGCCACGCAGCTGGCCCCGCAGCGGATCCGCGCCGCGCTGCGCCTGGGTGAGTCCAGGGCCGGGCGGGACGCGCGCGCCGGGCCTGGGAGGCGCAGGGCTGCGGGATCGAGCCTCCCCCTCTCTTAACAGGGGAGCCCCAGAAATTCCGGGTCCGCTTCCTCCGGGCCGCCGGCTACCCGGTGGACCTGTACTACCTCATGGACCTGAGCTACTCAATGAAGGATGACTTGGAGCGCGTGCGCCAGCTCGGTCACGCCCTGCTGGTCCGGCTGCAGGAGGTCACGCATTCTGTGCGCATAGGTGAGCGTGAGCTAGCTACCCACATGCTGCCAGCCCGTGTCGCCGCTTTTCACTTCCACCGTTTCTTAGGCTTGCCCAGTGGTTAACAGACTCATCAGGCCAGGGGATCCTGACATCTCTCCTGAGCCACACTCACCTCAGTTGAAGCTGCAGGGGGATTGGCCGTAGCGGGACCCCTGAGGCCCAGCGGCTCAGACTCAGCTCCCGACCCGAGCACGGCCCTTACCCTGCCACCTCCACCAGTGTCCGTGGACAGCCTATCTGTCCCTACGTTCTGTGGTGACTTTCTTCCTTGGCTCGGAAGGGACTTACTTGTCCAGTGGTGCTGCAGAAGCGCACACCTTGAATCCCAGCCCTCAGGAGGCAGAGGCAGGCAGATCTGTCATCGAGGCCAGCCTGGTTTAGAGTGAGATCCAGGACAGCCAGGGCTACACAGAGAGACCCCGTGTCAAAATAAACAAGCACCCCCTCCCCAAAGCACCCTGTGCCACTGCCGCTTCCACCCCATGGACCCTGGCCTCCTTAGCCTCCATGAAGGCTGGCCTGCCCCTGATCCATCTCCTCCACTCCCATCCTCTTGAGCTGGCGGGACCACAGTCTTGCCCGTGCCGGGTGCCAGGTCCCCGCTGAGGTCTTGTGGTCTTTGGCACACCCTCGCTGCTCCTGCCTTCAGGTTTTGGCTTCTTCGTGGACAAAAGGGCGCTGCCGTTTATGAGCACGGTGCCCTCCAAGCTTCAGCACCCATGCCCCAGCCGGCTGGAGCGCTGCCAGCCGCCCTTCAGCTTTCGCCACGTGCTGCCCCTCACTGCGGACGCCCAAGCCTTTGAGAGAGAGGTGGGGCGCCAGAATGTCTCTGGCAATCTGGACCCACCGGAAGGTGGCTTCGATGCCATTTTGCAGGCTGCCCTCTGCCAGGTGAGGAGACAGACTCAGGATCTGAGCGCCAGGAGCTGCCTGGGGCTAGGACTGTGCGTGGCAGGTGCTCGGTGCACCCCAGGGGTTCAGCCTTCTGACCTCACTATGACCTGCGTGTTTGTCCTGGCAGTTATCTGGCACGCGGGAGTAAAAAGAGGCTCTCTCGCTAGTTCACAAGAGGACCTCCAATAACAACAGACTTGTTTGGGGAGGGGCTCAAGAGCTTGGAGCAGAGAATTAGAGCAGGGTGGGGGGGGGTGGACAGATGCACCCAGAATGAACCTGCTAGGTTCTGTGTGGCCGGGATGGCCCCACAGCCGTGCCTGGCCATGCGGACCAGCCCCTTTCCACTCAGGAGCAGATTGGCTGGAGAAATGTGTCCCGACTCCTGGTGTTTACTTCAGATGACACGTTCCACACAGCCGGGGATGGGAAACTGGGTGGCATCTTCATGCCCAGCGACGGGCAATGCCATCTGGACAGCAATGGCGTATACTCTAACAGCGCAGACTTTGTGAGTCCTCCCATGCCCCCACCCCACCTGAGCTCATCTCTTCTCTCCTGACTCCTCCCACTCCTCCCCTGACAGGAAGCCTGGGCCAGTCCTTCCTCCTGCTTGGGTGGGCCTCTGGGGCCTGACTTCTCTTGGTCTGAGGGTTAGCCAGGCATTCTTCTCCCGCCTCAGGACTACCCTTCTGTGGGTCAAGTGGCCCAGGCCCTCACGGCTGCCAACATCCAGCCTATTTTTGCTGTTACAGGCGCCACGCTGCCTGTGTACCAGGTAAGCATTCTCCAGCCGCCGTGCTTTAACTCCCCACTCCACTAACCTTTCATTCTTCCAGATCCCGGAGACATTCTCTTTATTCACTCCCTCCTCACACAGGAGCTGAGCCAGCTGATCCCCAAGTCTGCTGTCGGGGAGCTGAGCGAGGACTCCAGCAATGTGGTGCAGCTCATCATGGATGCCTATGATGTGAGGGGACTGGGGAGAGGGCAGGCAGGGGTGAGGGGATGGGGGTGAGGATGGAGTTGAGGGTGGGCAGGAGTAAGGGGACAGGGGTGAGGGGTCAGGGGTGAGAGGACAGGGGTGAGGATGGGGCTGAGGGTGTGCAGGGGTGAGGAGATGGGGGTGAGGGCGGGCAGGGGTGAGGGGATGGGGGTGAGGGCGG